AAGTAAACTTGTCAGCTCCTTAAAATCTTAAATTTAAATGTTAAACAATTGACAAACTTTTAATTTATGTGGTTTTAGTAGCTCTTTGATTTCGTGTCTATTGAGTTTTCATATCAGCTCTTTTAGAGCCAAAACTCATGTTTTGGTTGCCCAAGCTTCATGGGACGAGTTGTTCTGGTCTCCGCGCAGGTGAGGTGAAGGAGCGTAAGGCACGCTGAAGTGTATGGGAAAACATAATTGGCACCCTCCAGACGGGGTTTTGGCGCCCCCTCTGGTGCTGCGCCCCTATGTGTTGCATGCGCTGCATACCCACTTTTTGCGCCACTGTGGAAACCCTGTATAAAATTTGAATATTTTGACCTGTCCGTCACTTGGACACAATGTTCCATCATTCTGAAAAATTCAAGATTACGATGAAGTCTCTGAACTTCATTTCAATGTTTGAGCTAGTAAATATTTAGTTTATATGAGTCAGTGGTTCTCTTTTATAATGAATAGTTTTGGAAGGATCTGTATCTTACAGCAGACTTTGAAATAACTTTTTTGTGAATTCTTGGAGCTAAAAATACTTATAAAATGGCTCTCTATGTATTTGCAGATGTGACCTGTTAATAAAACCTGTTGGAAAGGCTGTGACAGAATTACTTGATCTGTTTTAAGTCATCTACAGATGTATTGAAAGCCAGAAACAGGCAGTAGAGATCTCTGTTCATCGATGAACAGTCTGGACCTGCAACTGAAGTTCAGCTTTCTATTTATAAAGCCTACAGAATTTTGCCAATAATGTAAACTAACTGAACTGTGATTTAAATCATTTGAAATAACCCTTAAACTTTTTAACATCCAATAAATGCTCTACATACACAGAAAGAATGTACTAACTGTAAAATAAATCATTTATTCTTAGACAACTGAGGTGATGAGGGATCTCTGTTTCACTTAAATAGGATGTTTGCAAAATAAAAATGTATCTTGTTCAATACATTTTAGGGTTAAAATAAAGAAAAGGAGCTAACAGTTGCGAAAAGATAGAATTTCTTGAAGAACTTCCTCCTTAGTTCCTTATTTTAGTAGGATGGATAGAACAGTCATTAAAATAAACTTTTACACAAATTATTGTATTTGTGACCATCATTTCATGCCAATAATATACAGTATAAATGAAAGCTTTTCTCAGTTGATCTTTGGTTCCCGTCTCCACCTGCTGGAGGAAAACCAAACAGTAACCCTGCAGAAACATAAAGCACTTCAAAGCTTCCAGCCTCCATGATCTCTTAGTCCTTCAAGTTAAGGAAATGAAATGGCTCCTTGGAAAATTGATGAGTAGTCCATGTCCACATGAGGCACCAGCATGATGTTCTGCTCCAGTCAGCAGAAGATGAGCGTCTTCCCTCATTTACACTATAAAAGAACCCTAAAGAAGTCGGGAGTCTCCTGTAAATGGTGCTTTGCATCAACCTGAGGGTTAGGGTCAGCTCATCAGGTCTTCTCGCTTCAGGAACCGCACAGCGTCAGTGTGGCCTTCCTCACATATGGCATGCATGGTCCTGAGGGACGGAGGGAACAAAGCCTGGTTCAGACGTTTGACGTTCTCCATGGAAAACTGTGGAAAGCAAGCAACAGATTGCATTTGGAGCAGTGAATATGTGAATTTGGCATTCACATATGCATTCAAACCGCACCAGAGTTCACTTCAACCACACCAACACTAAGGTTTGTTGTCGGACCAGAATTCGTGTTTTTGGTCAGTTTCTCATTCACACCTCCCCAAACAAACAAAATTTTCTAGACAAATGAACCAGAGTTCCATTAAAGCGGACTAAACAAGGCTGGTGGGAATGCAACTTTAGTCCACAAAACATAAAAAAAAAACCATCAGTGCACACACTCAGCTTTAGAAAGACCATTAACCTTGTCACAGAAGCAGGCATAGAACCTACATATAAAATAACTTGAATTATATTAAATAAAAAAATCATTACAAACTAACAAGAGTGATATACATTCAATGTGGAAAGTTCTAACAACTTACTCAGGATTGTACTTAGCAACTTTAAGAGTTGTCCTTTACAACCGAATACAGTCTGAATTCTAATGTTAATATTCCAGATTTTTTTCAGCTCTTATGTTTGCTTTAAAATATAAAATAAAAATATTCACTGTGAATTTAGAAGGGAGGCTTCACACCTGAATGAAACCAGAAGGAGAGAAGGATGAGGAAGGAAAGATTCAACAAGAAAAAGACTGGAAGGGAGGGAAGAAAAAGAAGGAGACAAGAACAAAACAAAGGAAGAACATAGGGACTTTTTCAATATTTATGGAAAATATTGAAATGTTACAGGTCAAATGTTTTGAGTTAGTTTCTGGAAATTATCTCAAATTAGAACATTAACTACATGTTTTAAGATATTCATCTTTACCAGTAATAATACAACTTGTGAATCACTCTTCTCTTCTGGAGTTTTTTTTTGCAGGATATGTTCTGTCAATGCTGGTTCTAGCAAACAATCTCAGTGTTTGATTCTTCATAAGGCAGTCAAGAAATTTGTTGATTACTATCACATACCTAAAAATAGTCCTGAAAGTGTCAAAAATTGTATTTTTGACATGCTATTTTATGCTAAAATGTTTCATTGTCTGTCAAATTTTACATCAAAAACTAACTTTTTGGTTGACTATAGCAAATTTTAAATCTTCATTAATTAATCTGGTAACACTTTATTTGAAGGGGGTGAATAAGACTGTCATAACACTGTCATAAACATGACATAACACCTGTCATGAACATGAATAAGCCTTCATGAATATTCATGACTGTTGTCATAAAGTGTCATTCGGTAAATTATGACACTTTTAATACAAAGTTGACATTATTCAAAATGTCTTTGTTATGACAACTTAACATTAACCAGGAAATCATTACTGTTTAAACTTTATGTTTAATAACATAAAGATACCTAATTTTTAAAGTGCAATCAGTAATACTTTTATAACAAATTTATATCAGTAATGATATAATGATTTATTATAAAAAATTAACTTTTTTATAATTGAAAAAAGTTAATTATATTTAGTCATATTTAGAAAGTAAATTAACCAAACTTCCACAAAATATACATAACGTTTTACATTTAAGATAAAAAAAACACCTTTGTCTACCAATATGTTTAACCCAAACTCCTTAAGTCTTCATGTCAAATGCTTTCAATCCTGACACTTTCTGCCTGGAAATGTTAGCTTAAACAGGAAGGCATCCCACATCAGTGTTTGATTAGCAATTTTTCATCACTGCAAAGAAATAATGACATTTAAAAACACTTTATGCCAAGTATAGATATTGTTAATGCTATTTACTCACCATAATTTTCATGTTGGCAAGGCCGAGCTGAGTGTTGAACCGCCCCCTGTGGACAGGACACACATCCTGCAGTCCAGCAAAGGGAGACACAGTGATGGTTCTCCCCACAGGCAGGATGGGCAGGCTGTCCGTAAACCCTCCATCAATCCATTTCTAATAAAAGTCAGCAAGTGTCTCAGAATAAAAACCACAGCCAGATTTTAGACAGTATTACAGACAGAAACGGAGCTACCTGCCCGCTGAACTCCACCGGTCTGAGCCCGACATAGAGAGGCACAAAGCTGCTGGCAAGCAAAGCCTGCAGACATTAATACACAAGAAAGCAAATAATTTTCCTGTAACCTAAACAGACAATGAGCTATGGAAGAGTGTGTGTGTGCGTGTGTGAGGTGGACACTGACCATTATGAGCTCATCCCTGGAGGGAAACCTGGAAACGATGTGGTTCTTCCCACTCCTGCAGTGAGTTATAGAGACATAAAGTCGTTCGCTGGCCAGACTGTGAGCATCACTGGGCAGAATCTCCTCTAGTGCTTCCCTGCAGACACACATTGGTCAGAAGATGTCAACGAGACATCACACACAAACACTAAGGTAGTTCATAATCTATCACATTTTTCTGTACTTTCTGGGTTATGACTTAAGGTCTCCCATTTCAGCAGGGCATCTTCTTGCATGCCATACTTGTTTCAGATTTTTATTAGAGATGCACAAATCCAGTGTTAATATCAGTATCATCCAGATATTGGAAAAAAAAAGTCAATATCGTGACAATGTGCCCAATCCAAGAGGACAGATCTAGTCAGTCTAATTCTATGCTCCGTTATTTTATATTGTATTGAGAACTCCTAAATATGACCTAGAAAATAGATTATATTTTAATCTATTTTGTTTCTACATGTTTGTTAGCTTGTGAAGCTATTGGTGTATTTCAGCATGCTGCACTGGTGCTGACTTATCAGTACATTTATGTATGTGTTTAACAAAAGAAACATTTAAGTCAATTGTTTTTCTTTATCAGATCAGAATCGGTCCATACTAAACTTCAAATATGAGTCAGAAGTGAAAAACGTGGATCGTGTATTCTTAATTTGATTCATACATGTGTGATTTTGTAACAGGCAAAATAAGAACACACATAGCTAACTACAGGCCAGTTACTTTAAGAATGCAGCTGCCATTTAGCATTTAACTTTAGCATTTACCGTAGAATGAGCATGAAGTTGAATCCTGGTGTGATGGCTCCAAACCTCTGTTGTCTCACACTTTCAGCAAACTTGTAGGTGAACTCTGTGCAGTGCTGAAGGAAGGAAACAGACATATCATGCTGAAATTGTCTGACATCAATCATACATTTATATCCTCTGTCTGTACCCATCCAACCTCCAGCTTATCTGGAGCTGTGATGAGGACAGCAGCCACCAGCGCGCCGCCTGACGCTCCTGCACAGGCCCTCAGGGAGCCCAGCAGCTTGTCTCCATGACGAAGAAAGGCCCCAACAGCACCCAGGTGGTAGATCCCCATAAAACCACAGGCAGCAAAGGACAGGTTCAGAATGGTCATTGTTACGCCTGCAGAAACAAATCAATATGACAACTTCAAGAAAAACCAGCTGCTCTAAAAGAGGTGTAAGCCTTCACCTCTGAAGGAACTGACAGAACAGTTTTCTGAGATGGTCAGGTGCAAGAAACGGAAAAAGACAAACTTGAACTTGTGCAATTAATCTGTTAAAAAATCCCTGAAGTTGTTGGTTGTTTGATCATTCCAACAGCTCCATGTTTCAAACAGATCACTAAAATCCCAAAATGAAAGCAGATGACTGGATGTATCAATCTGATTTGTTTGATCGTTTCTCACCAGTTGATTTTTAAAGGGCTGGATAAACGTTTCCACAGAAATCACAGCATACAACCCAGGTGATGGAATGAAAAATATCTCATCACACTCAGTTCCATTCACATGACATCATAACCACTCAGCTCTTTCTCCTCTGGAAAACACTGAAACTTTTGAAAAATGTGGATTACTGAAACGCTCTTCCTTATTACACCACTTAGCCTGGCTGCTGGGTCCAAGGCTAGCCTGACCGTCCTGCAGAAGGGACACATTAATGAGACAAACACCAGGGGGCTCTGTAACAAAACAAGTCCAACATCCCCAGAGAGCCTCTGGTCATCTGGCTGCCTTTAAACTTTAAGAGGCAATTATGCTAAGTGGAGTCACAGAGGCGATAACCTGAGGCTGCTGACTGACTGTGAGCATGAAAGATACGGTCAACAGCCATTATTTTTTATTAGAGCTCCCCACACACAGGTGGCAACGGGCCAGACACTGATGCTCCACAGCTCAGAACACTTTGAACAGTGTCCGCTGAGAAAAAGAGTAAAAATATTTAATTTCTGTTTCAACCTGCTTTCAGGATGGGCTCTATTCTGCTTTCACAGAAGGAAAGGCTAATTGTTGAGGTCAGGGAACATTTTGAGCAAAGTAGCATAAAAGAAGAATTATGTCTCTAGGGACGATCTGCTCAGGAGATGATGCTCTACTAGAGATTTAATGTTAGGAAACATTTTAACCTGCCTCAGTATTTCTGATGTATAGTTATAACCACATGTTTAAAAGGACAGACAGATAATTAATAACTCATTTAATTGTGTTAACCTGAAACTAATTTAATATCAATCCTGCAGTAAAGCCATCACATGGAGAACCACTGTATGTGACATGAAATGACAAATGTATGAACAAGTCAGTAGAGCAGAAACTGAGAAAAAAGATAAAAAGCACCAATTTCTGAGAAAAGTGTGTTGTTGTTTTTTCCCCCAAATATACTTACTGAATTCATGAAGGAATCACTCCATGCTTTAAATATCAGTTTCAGATATTTAAAATAATAAACTTTGTGACTAAAGTCAGCTTGTTTACAGAGTAAATCTGAGGCATTTCATAAAGTGCGTGTGTGTGTGCGTGTGTGTGTGTTGAGTGGGAGGGAACTCAAAGCTGATTATCATACTGGGCTTTACTGGATATTCACACACTTTTTCAAATAAGTTGCACATTGGAAGTAAACAGATGGCTTATTAATAATAAAGAGTGTGATATGATGGTGATGAGACAGTGAGCGCCACGCCCACACCTACTAACTGCACCAATAACACTTAAAATGAAATGATTATTTATGTCAGGCTTCCTTTGGGCTGAAAGAAAACATTGTTGAACATGTTACATTCATTGTTTTTTTCCTCTTATTTGAGGGAATATCATGCTGTTCTCAGGACAGCTGAGAAACCTTCCAGTGTGTTCCATGGAGAATTCTCCCACAAGAGTTCAGGGTTCTTACATGACT